TGTGTGTGTGTGTGTGTGTGTGTGTGTGTGTGTGTGTGTGTGTGTGTGTGTGTGTTCTGTTCTTAATAGAAACTTACTTCGTCGGGTATTACAATGTGATATTGTAAAGTGCTATTATGTCGAATATGAGCAACAAAGAATTTCACTTCGAATGGTGGAAATTCATCCTCGATATGGCGATATCTCGAATTGTTTCTTAATATCTCTGCTGATATTATTACGGAATCTCCGTTTCTAATATTTTCGCATTGACTTTTACTGCCCAACCAATAATTATTTCCATAAATAAATCCTGATTTAGGTTCTCCGCACGCATCGAGTACTTGATAAAAAAAATAAAATACAAATTTCATCTCTTTACCAATCGAAATTAATTTTTATGTGTTACTTAAGAAGAAAATACTATTTAGGTTGTCGTAAATAAAGTTAAATAATTAACTTCTTAATGTTAACCATTTCGAATTCTTTATATATTTTGATTATACTGATTCATCGACAGCATATAAATGTAAACTTTAAAAAATTGTGTATTTATCTATTTAACCAGTTACAATCGATACTAGGAAACATACAATTGTTGCAACTCAAAATTTAAACTTTTCAAGAGACTGTAAATGAGCTATCTATCTACAATTTTAAAATTAAAAAAAGAAAATGTATTTTTAAATAGTCCTGATATTAAATGAAAATTATACAAAGTTGCAATAATTTGAAGACGATCCTTTTCCTGTAAAAAAATATTTTAAAAAGAAAAATAAATTTTCGGTTTTTATAAGATTGTTCCTTCCTTGAAATAAATAACCAAACATACATATTTAAATCTTTACTTGAATAAAATAATAATTCCAAAAATCTCGTTTAGAGTGTAATGAATAATTATTTTTCAAAATAATAAATCTCTGATAATAGAAATGTTTTCTTATCTTTCAAATACCTCTTAAGCTCCATAATATTTGCTGATCAATGGCTTGTTGAAATTCGGTAAGTTCCTTGCCACATTGAGTTGAGTTTAAAAGTTTTGCGTTTACTGCCATTGCATAAACTGGCAATGTACGCATTTTCAATTCTTTTATTCCATTTGCCGTACAATAATTAAATAAGAACATAAATGCTGCGAAATACTTTAGCAATTGGAATGCTAAACGTGCCATTTTTATTAGATTATGCTTTTTTAGTTGTTTATGTTTTATTTTTTTTTTTTTTACTTTATTATAATAGTTATCGAAATGACTCTATTCTTCACTTCTCTCACTGTTTTAGAAACTATCGTTATTGATGTTGCACTGGATGATCAAAAATACTGCGAAATAATACAAAACAGTACCAATATTATATCGTTGAACGAATTGAATTTCTGAGCAATGATGAAGCGAATCAACGAGAACTTTTTTTTCGCAGTTATGAGAATCTCACATAGGATAATCTCTCCTAATTATTTTCGATAACAAAATTTAAATATATTTAAATATTTAAAAGAAAAAAAACCTAAAATGAAGATAAACGAACGATATTTTTTGAAACTAAATAATTTTAGAACCTACTATTATTAGACAATTGACATTCTTCCTAATAAATATTATAACTTCTTAAAATATTAAATCCTTTTTTGCTATTCTCTATAGTAATATTTAAATATATATATTCAATGTTAATTACAAGAATCCATATACGTAAAATTTATAATATTAATTTTATTTAGTTTATATATAATCTCATTTGATAATGTTTAATGTTTATTAACACATTCCGTGTTGAATGGGTCGTATACGGCCCCCGCTGCTTTCTGTTCAGGCCACTTGGAATTCTCATTGAAAAACAAAGAATTCTTTAAAAATTTTAAATAATTTTTAAAAAATTAAAATTATGACTTTGTTGTCTAATGCATATTAAAATTGATATCTTTCTCTTGCTAATTATAACTTTATAGTATTGAAAAAATGTAACACATGCGTCCTAAACAACTTTTTGAATCTTAAAAGTGTAGGTCATATACACCCCACGAGGCCTGAATGGTAATAAAATAAAATAAAAATCTAAATATTAACAATCATCTAAATAATTAATAAACGTTGTGTTTTATACTACTTTAAATATCTTAATTCTTAACAAAAAATCGTCGTAATTATTTCTTCGTTATTCATCGTATTTGATCGTATTATTTTCACACAAAACACACTCGTCGTAATTTCAAAATCAAGACAAGGCAAATGCGTGCTCATTCGTTCTTTCATTCCCAATATATACTCATCTACCCCCCTTTTAACGCAGTTCGTTGTTGCCTTGCATTTGTTCAAGAAACTTCCCAACCACATTCTTGATCATAAAAATTTAGATTATTATTTTACTAACGCATAGCGAATGTTAAGAAGTTTTCAATGCAACGAAACATTAGGTGACAAAACTCAAAAACAAAACGCAAGCATTCCCGATCTCTCTCATGTTACAATACATTCTCATTCACTCATCAACGTAAGAAAAGAATTAACTAACGCATTTACTTTTAACACTAAACTGTTTTCACTCTCTCATCCTCAAATATATAAGTATGTATTGTATTGCAATGTATTATATTAAGTTTTTTTTAGGACTTTTAAATGAGCAACTGTAGAATCGCRTTAAACTATTGTTATAGTCGAGAGACCAATTCTGGTAAAAATAAATGAAAAAAACATACTCTGTTAGAGATAACAGTGCAAAGTCGCAGTATTTATTTATAAGTTGCTTTATTTTCAAATTATRTACGCGAATTGACATAGAATTAAAACAGTAACTAGGGATAATACAGATTATAAAAYAGATGATATGCTACTAATATATAATTGAACTAATTGTGCCCCGCCACGCGTTGATATGGCTCACAATCAGTCTGATTAAATACAAAAGAAAAAAAAATCATGTGTGCAGATCACACGTGTTAGAAGCGAAACCTTCAAGAATCTAAGTTTCGAGAGAATGAGACGAATGCACAGTTTTAAGAGTAAGATAATTGTAGGATTTATTTATTATAATATTATTACTATATATAATAAAGGTCACCGGTATGGTCTCTGGGTGAAATARCTGAWAMAAAGTGMACTTTTCACAATTCAAGCAATAAAAACGGAATGCTGAATGCGATAGTTATAAGTAGTCACCAAAATGGTAGGATGTTTATCAAAGGAAATATAATTCGTCAAAAATTAGGTAAAAATAAATAATCCTTTTTTTGAAACTCAGGTATAAAATTTTTTTTGTTAGTATAGTTTTCTATTTCCCGTTTTCATCTACATTCTTGCGCTATATAACAAACATTTTAGGATAAATGAAATAAAGACATTACGAAAAACATATGGAAAATACTGCTGGACTGAACGAAGGTTCTGGTAAAAAACAATGAAAGATCTCATAAAGATATTCTCTAGAAAAGTTTTTTCAACTCTGTAGCTAACCACACTTCAAGACCCTTATTATTTATATCATATCTCGTCCTTATTGTATAGACCACAAACTTATCTTTCTAAATACTCTCGTCTAAATAAAGATCTGAACAACGAGAAATCTTCAAAACGCATTGAATCGTATCGCTCTCTCAGCTTATCGAACTACACACACTACGAGTCTCAAATTTCAGCTCCGTGGTAAGCTCCACCGAATCACGCTGAGCGTTCAACATTTTAAAAATGTTTTTATTTTATTGAAAAATTAGTAAAAGTTTCTTAAATACGCAAATATCACAATGTGTAATATAATTTTCATATATGCATGGGTCAGTACATCTCCTTGGATATTTTTCATATAAAAATCAAATTTAATAGACATATTCTATCTTAAGGTATCAAATATATTTTATAAAGAAGCAAAATATAAAAATGTGA